AGTGGTCCATAATACCCTTGGTGTGGTAAAATGTTACCCCCTGCTACCCCATCTCTCTTACTTGGTGCTTCATGTTTGTTATAGAGACAAATTGACTTCCCCTGCTATAAAACGAGCATGGAGGAGGAAACACCCAGACACTGACATAAGTGCTCCCACCACTTTGATCATGGGTGGAAGGGTAGTGGGTGTGCCCTGGAGTGAAAGTGGTCCTAAATCAGGGTTGTACTATCCTCGAACATGGTGATTATCCCTTTAACTCTTCCACCCTTTCCTCAGACCATGTAATATCTGGGTGAACATTAGGCAGGAAACCTGTATTTGCCAACAAGGGTGAGTGATAATCCCCAGAAACATCATCAACACCTTGATGAGTGTTAATAGAGAGAGAGATTCCAATTAGATCCCACAACATCAAAAACAGCTGATGGCTTTGCCTGCTCACTAGTATACACTCAGTGGCTTTTGGGTATTGTTAGGGCAACAACTGAACAAGACGCTAGTTTCACCAGCAAATTGCCTGAATGATTTGTTGGACAACAGTTGAGTCATTTGCCACTTCCTACAAGCCAGGGATGAAACGATGGGTGCTAACGCAGGTGTTGGTTGCATCTAGAACAACACAAGCATCTCTGTGGCAGCCTTTCCACTTGTTGCACCATGGGATCCTTGATTACCTGGTCACCACATTTTGCCCTTCGACAGATGCAGCTGTCTGCCAGGCCAAACCATTCAATGGACACCTGCCCATGAACTGTTTTCAAGGGGGCCACATGAGTGAGTAAAAGAGGAACAAAATCACGGACATTAATGCAGCTGGATTAAAATTTCCTCCCAGCACACCAAGGGTGATTAGGTCTGGTGATATGTCTGTGGCTTCAGTCTCAACATGGCCCAAAGGAACTGTGGGATCCTGCCAAGAATTTCTGCAAACACATGGTCAACAGCCCTCACAAGATCAATTGTGATCCCAAGACCAACATAATTCACAATGTCCCTGAAGACAACAAGAAGAGTTGAGTCTATGGCATGCCGGTTGTGTATTCCCATAACACACACACATAAGGCCTACAGCTTCACCACTGTACTTGTTGGGTGCAACTAAAGTTGCTCCTCGAGACCCTTAGTCCCCTGTATTCTTCACTTTGAGTCAGTTGTCTTAGTTGTCAGCTAAGCCAAACCACCAGGAAAATATTTTCCCATGGGTTGTTGTCAAGCAGGTTGTGGATTCCCACAGCATACATACACAAGCCTACAGCTATAAACCCATGCCCAGCATAGTGTATGTCTGGACTAATGCTGAAGTACTCTGAATGTTTGACAGCATACAGTACTTCACCCAGATGATGGCTATGAATGGTCACTTACCTGCTGAAGTAAAATTTAGGGAGAACACTGCTAAAAGCTCAGTATTCCAAGTTTCAACATGCTTGCTGTTTCTTTTGATCATCAGGTTAATTCAGCAGGGCTGAAATTTTACCTAATTGATTTACAGATGGACTTCCAAAAACTTCACTGCAGCAGTTTTTATTTTTGCCAATCACAGGAATGGAAATTTCGTGTAGCAATGCAGTTCATGAGAATTTCGAAAGTATCATGACTTATGATTACTGAATATTCTGGCTTTCACTGTAAAAAGTACCAAATCATTTATGCAAGTGTTCATAGTTATCTGTGTGCATGCAAACACCCATGCAAGAGTGAATTTGTATGAAATGTCCACATACTAGTCATGTTGAAGGTGATCAGTTAATCAGTTATTTTCAACATGCATAAGCTTCAGACATGGTTGACAGAGCCATAGTTTTGAAATTCCCAGGCTGACAGTCGAATGTACACTTTCCCTGACCAAATGAATTGACAATTTGCCCTGATAATGGCTTCCAAACTTTCACCACAGCCATCCTCTCCACCTATTTATCACACGAATTTATCCTGAATGTAAAGTGCAGAATGGATCGATCTTCTCTTTTAATTTCTTGAAACAATATTCTACCAATGGAACATGTTTAACTTCTGTGAATGTCACCTTCCTCTCATTTCTTTGAAAGAGTTAAATTTTCCTGACTTGTTTATTTGTCCCTTACAGGGAAAAGAATTAATTTCCTTGGCATAGCAACCATGTCACACATTAATATTCAGAGGAGATCCGAAATGCTGATGTTCTTTGTTAATAATAGGATTGAAACAGAAGGCCAGCACAGGGCTCAAAGTCAGCAACTAACCGGTCACATATGTGACTGGATTTTTGGTTGTGCGTCTAAAAATTCATGTGTAATCACACCTGTGTGCTGTAAAACCCAAAGCACAGTGCGACTTACTTACTTCCGACTATACTTACGAACTTGAACTAGAAAGATGGTGTATGTTTAATTGGTCTTTTCTCCCAATGGATTCTACGAACTCGAATGTTCTTTTTCATTTCGATTTTTTACTCCATCCCAGACTCTTCTGTTTTGTAATAAACACCGCTGACACATGCAAATATATGCTACTAACAAAACACGTACTTTTTGTGCAATGGACGATCATGTCGAACGTTCAGTTTTAACGTCAATCAAAACAAAAACAGTGCAGATTAAGAGCCTTTTTTTCCAGGTAAGAAAGTTTTTTAAGTCGTATTCCAGTTACATGTAAGTCATTGTGCATTTAACAAATTCATTAAAGATTAATTTTCATTCTCGTTTGACATACTCTTTGTTGTCAGTTTTGAATTGTTTTTCAAGTTTAAATTTTCTTTAGTCACAACTATACTGTCAAAAAGAGAAATTAGTATCAAAAATCACAACGGTATTTCTGCGTAGCAAATCAGGTGTGTTTTATCAATCACAGGACTGAAGTAAAAGTAACAAACTGAAGATGACAAATAAACGTGGCACTGTTAAGCTTTTTCCTTTTTCTTTTGAAATAGATGCTTCCAACATTATAAGCTGTGGTCCTAAAATTTTGGCAGTGCGCCTAAAAATTTACATCTGGTAGCACAAGTGCTCCCAAACTAAAATTTAAACTTTGAGCCCTGCCAGCATAATAAATTTTTGTTATATTTGACGTATATATAAGGCTGCTACATACAAGTAGACTGATTGAACCAGATTAAATCTTGAACATTTATTGCTACTCAGTTTCATGTCTCTCGCGAGGCAAAAATTTGGTCCAGTAATGTTTCCCTACATGACAGTCACGCATTGAAGTAAACTGTTCATTGTAAAATAAAGCTTACTGTAAAAAACCCATTGTTGCTCATGGTGTAAAGGCTTATCAGCTGTCCTCAGTCTGTTTGAAAGATATTCCTCACATGCATTTTACAGATGGTGTAATTCTTGCTGCCTATCATTGCCTCAAAAAAGATAACTTTCACTGTAAACTTCAAGCTTACCTCTCCTCACAGCTTTTGTTGCCATTTGTATTGGTGGCATTTTCTCTAAGCATCTGCTGTCGGTGTTCCTTCTCTTGATCTGTTTTGTTTGCAGGGTAATTGTAGTATTTGAATGACTTTCCCTTTATAATGCCCAGGAACCATCATGAGGAAAGTACAGACAAGGGAAATGTGTGAAGGCAAATTTGTTTGATGTTAAACACAAAGAAAAAAAAGTGCTGCTGTGAACCTTGTGGAAATCCATTTGTGAATTGATTAAGTAAGATTTTCACCCTGCTGAATTAAGCGTATGATGAAAGGAAATAGCAAGCATGTTAGAACTTGAAATGACTAAGATTAAGGAAGTTAGCTGAGCTTTGGTAACAACACAGCATCTGGGTGATGTATTGTATGCTGTCAAACATTCAGAGTAGTTCAGCGTTAGTCCAGACATCTACTATGCTGGGCATGGGTTTATAGATGTAGACTGTATGTATGCTGTGGGAATCCACCACCTGCTTTTCATAGACTCAACTCTATATATTTTATTTTCTTCAGGGACACTGTGATTCATCTTCATCTTGGGATTGTAATTGATCTTGTGAGGGCTTTTGACCATGCGTTTGCAGGGATTCTTGGCAGGATCACATAGTTCCTTCGTTGGATGTTGAAACTGAAGCCACAGATGTATCAGCAGACCTAATCAGCCTTGGTGTGATGGGAGGGAATTTTCATCCAGCTGCAATAAAGTTCATGATTTTGTTACTCTTTTACTCATCCATTTAGCCCCCTTGAAAACAGTTCATGGGAAGGTGTTCTTTGCACAGTTTTGCCTGGCAGACAACTGAGTCTGTCAAAGGGAAGAATGTGGTAACCAGGTAATCAAGGATGCCATGGTGCAACTAAAGATTGGACCAACAAGTAGAAAAGGCTACCACAGAGATACTTGCATTGTTCTAGATGCAGCCAACATCTGCCTTATGAGTTTTAGCAACCATCATTTTGTTTCTGGCTTGTTGGAAGTGGTGAATGACGCGACTGTTGTCCAAGAAATCATTGAAGAACTGTTAGGGGAGTTTGCAGGTAAAACTTGTGTCTTGCTCTGTTGTTGCCCTTACTTTACCCCAAAGCCACTGAGCATGTATTAGTGAGCAAGCAGAGCCCCGGGTTGTTATGGATGTTTTGGAATCTCATTGGAATCCCTCTATACTCATCAAGGTATTGTTTTTTTTTCTGGGGAGTGTCAATTACCCTCCATGGTTTTTGCAGGTCTCCTGCTTGATTTTCACCCAGGTTTTACATGTTCTGAGAAAGGGGTGGTAGAGTGGAAGGGAAAGTTCCCATGTTTGTACTAAATGAGGATTATACAACCCTGATTTAGGGCCACTTTTACTCCAGGGCACACTTACTACCCTTTCGACCCATGGTCACAGTGGAAGGAACACCTGTGCCAGCATTTGGGTTTTTCTTCCTCCATGTACATTTTAAAGTAAGGGGTTGTCAATTCGTCTCTTTAACGAGCATGGAGATCTGGGTAAGAGAGACCAAGGGATGGCAGGGGGTAACATTGTGGACCACTTTGTATTTTCCTTATTTCCTCTTACATTAAATTGTATGTGAATCATTGGATAACCCACAGGAAGGCATGTGTTCTGGTAATCCTAGGGTGAGAGGGAATTCAAATCCTTGTTAAGAATCTTCTTTTCTACTTTGCACACCAACTGAGTAACATTTTTGCATCCCTTAAAAAGGCATCTCTAGGGTCCAAGGGCATCACCAACTCCAAACAGTGCATACGCTTTAATGCAGGGATGCCTTTTATGGTAGTACACAAATGTTACTCAGTCAATCTGTGAGGTAGAAGAGGAAGAAGAATTTATTCAGTTTATCTTTGATTCTTTCACTTCCCTTTACCCCTACATTACAAAAGAACCATTATCACATGGGTTATGCAGTCATTCATAAACAATTTGATGCAGAAAGCCAGTGTCGTTAGGAGTGCCTTTGGTGTGGGTAATTGTTGCTTTCTTTGACACTTTTCTCTCTTTTGCCCAGTAATCACTTTCCCTTAGAGAGACAAAGCGGGCTGTCATTAAGAGACGGACTGGGGATTTCCCCTGGCTACTTTTTGCAATTACCTGGCATCTTAAACGTTAGTGACAATCATGCAAAGTGGTATTTCCCACTATCAAACAAATGGGGTAAGGAACTCGTGACCACGCCACAAGCACTGCTACCACTGTGGTCTTTGCTGAAGTGAGGGAAAACCAGTGGTCCATAATACCCTTGGTGTGGTAAAATGTTACCCCCTGCCACCCCATCTCTCTTACTTGGTGCTTCATGTTTGTTATAGAGACAAATTGACTTCCCCTGCTATAAAACGTGCATGGAAGAGGAAACACCCAAACACTGACATAAGTGCTCCTACCACCTTGATCATAGGTGGAAGGGTAGTGGGTGTGCCCTGGAGTAAAAGTGGTCAGAAATCAGGGTTGTACTATCCTCGAACATAGGGATTATCCCTTTAACTCTTCCACCCTTCCCTCAGACCATGTAATATCTGGGTGAACATTAGGCAGGAAACCTGTATTTGCCAACAAGGGTGGGTGATAATCCCCAGAAACATCATCAACACCTTGATGAGTGTTAATAGAGAGAGAGATTCCAATTAGAACCCACAACATCAAAAACAGCTGATGGCTTTGCCTGCTCACTAGTATACACTCAGTGGCTTTTGGGTATTGTTAGGGCAACAACTGAACAAGATGCAAGTTTCACCAGCAAATTCCCTGAATAACTTCTTGGACAACAGTTGAGTCATTTGCCACTTCCTACAAGCCAGGGATGAAACGATGGGTGCTAACGGAGGTGTCGGTTGCATCTAGAACAACACAAGCATCTCTGTGGCAGCCTTTTCTACTTGTTGGTCCAATCTTGAGTTGCACCATGGTATCCTTGACCACCTGGTTACCTCATTTTGCCCTTCGACAGATGCAGTTGTCTGCCAGGCGAAACCATTCAACGAACACCTGCCCATGAACTGTTTTCAAGGGGGCCACATGAGTGAGTAAAAGAGGAGCAGAATCACGGACTTTGTTGCAGCCAGATCAAACTTTTCTCCCATCACACCAAGGCTGATTAGGTCTGGTATTATGTCTGTGGCTTCAGTCCCAACATGCCACAGAGGAACTGTTGGATCCTGTCAAGAATCTCTGCAAACGCATGGTCAACAGCCCTCACAAGATTAATTGTGATCCCAAGATGAGGTGATTCACAGTGTTCCGGGGGACAATAAAATATATAGAGTTGAGTCTATGACAATCACATTGTGTATTCCCACGTCATACATACATAAGGCCTACATATTCATGACCATACTTGTTGCGTCCACTGAAAGTTGTACTTCAAGACCCTTGGTCCTCTGGTTACCACATTCTTCACTTTCACAGACTCTTTTGTCTACTAAGCAAAACTACTGGAAAAACATTTTCCATGAGTTGTTTTCATAGAGGCTAAATGAATGAGGTAAAGAGAAGGAAAATCCTGGAGTTTGTTGCAGCTGATTCAAGATTTTCATCTACCAAACTAAGGCTGATTAAGTCTGCTGCTATAGGAGCTGTCACAAAATGCATAATAATTTCAAACAGTGAAAGCTGCCACTAAATTAAAGGAGGTAAAACCTCACAGAGGGAATAAATAACAGCAGAACTCAGTACAAATTTGAACGCAACATTAGATCAATTGATGAACATTATTTTGTGACATTAACCACTGCATTTGCTTGATTTTTTTTAAGACGTATGGAGACTATTGAGCTGTTACTTGCATCTGTAGTACCACTTGTGCTGATAAATATTCATCAAGCACATCAACATGGTCTATTGCAATTAATTCAGTTTCAGTTGGCAATGAATAAGTGGATAGAGAAGCAGATCTAAAGAAATAAACAGTTCTCAATGGTAATGCCAACTGTCAATTCACAGAAAGCCAGTTTGTATGAAAAGAAATTCAGGTTGACAATAATAGCTGCAATAGGATTCCCATGATCATCAATGAAAAACCTTTTGACAGACAGGATCTTCATCAGAAAACTACTTGGGTTATAGATCTTTTGCCTAGTTCCAGCTNCGTATGGAGACTATTGAGCTGTTACTTGCATCTGTAGTACCACTTGTGCTGATAAATATTCATCAAGCACATCAACATGGTCTATTGCAATTAATTCAGTTTCAGTTGGCAATGAATAAGTGGATAGAGAAGCAGATCTAAAGAAATAAACAGTTCTCAATGGTAATGCCAACTGTCAATTCACAGAAAGCCAGTTTGTATGAAAAGAAATTCAGGTTGACAATAATAGCTGCAATAGGATTCCCATGATCATCAATGAAAAACCTTTTGACAGACAGGATCTTCATCAGAAAACTACTTGGGTTATAGATCTTTTGCCTAGTTCCAGCTTGCCAGAAGAAAGTTTCAAATTTGAATGTTTCACATCTGTTACTATGCAATAAGTTGTCTTCACTGGTCAAGAAGATTGCTACCAATCCCTTATAATATTCCTTTTGGTGATTACAAAAATAGTTATTGCGTCATTGAGGTGTAGTAAAGTACCTGATTGCCTGAAGCCTGCTGTCACATTACTTGGTCTTAAAAAACCGTCTTTGGAGACCAATAAGATTAGCAGCTTTTGCCCTATTTCCAACCTTAAATTTGCTGCCAAGGCAATTGAGAAAGTTGTAGTTCTGTAAGAGGTCAGTGCATTGGTTGGGGAAGTCCCTAAGTTCATTTCAATTAAAAATGGTGTATCCCTGATTCAGGACCACATCTGCCTCTGGGGTTTACCACATATTAATCACACTCTCCTCCAGGCCATGATGGAAGCATTTAAAGTAGGTGCACTTGTGCCAGGGTTTGGGCATTTCTTTACACACATTTTACATAGGTGACAAAAGTGGAGCACCAGGTGAGAATGGTTCAATTTGACTAAATTTTTACATGTGTAATTTACAAGTGAGGCTATTGTTTTAAGGCTTAAAACAATGGTGACACTTGTAAATTGAACTTGCCAATGTTTTATTACAACATTTCAGTAGACTTAGGCATTGTGGACCACATCAACTTGTCCATCTTGTAGATGAAAAGAGGGAAACTCCTCGTTTTGTGAGGTAGAGGAACATGAAATCATCATGGAGTATCTTTGACCTCCCTTTGGCCTCTTGCAGTATCTGAGTATCACTTGTGTATTTGCCATAAAGGCATCCTGACATCAACGCAGAAGTAGAGTGTTTTAAGTTGGTGATGCCCTTGGACCAACAGGATGTCTTTGTGGAACTCAGTTACTGGGCAAGAAAAAGGAAAGGGAAGATTTTCTATGACGTGTCCAGGTAGTATCCCATGTTTCATTGTAACATTCAACTTGCACAGACAGTTAAAGATACATACACCCAATGTGGTCTGCAATTCCCTTTGCAGCCTCTCTTTGGTGTCCTTAACTTGGTACTTCCTTTTGCTGTGGAGGTAGATTGACATACTCATCTGTAAAATGTAATTGGAGCACAAGTTCCAAGGTTAGGGCATTTCGTTTTTCCTGCACATTTGATAAAGGAACAGCAATTTGCTGCAGCAACGAAAGTAAAGCAGTTGGTACAAGAGATGACTAGGGCAAAATGCAACATTTCACAGGGCGATTTTGTTTTTTTCACATCCACTTCTGAGTGATTGGATGATCATCTAAAAACACTCTAATTCTCGTCTATGTGAATTAGTTTGATTCATTCAAGAGAGCATATTCTCCCTCTTGTTTTACCTCTTACAGTATCTGAGTAGCATTTGTGTATTCCCCCCAAAAGACATCCTGATATCAAAGTATAGCTGGAGCATTTTGAGTTGGTGATACCCTTGGACCCTCAGGATTTGTCTTTTGTGGGGTCAGTTACTGTGTGAGGTAGTATAGAAGAGGAAGTGAGGATTCTCTTTCATACTTTCAAGGAGAACCCTGTGGGTCATTCCAACTTTCACATGCAACTCGATACACAGATAGCTGAAGTAAAAAGTCAGTGTAGTTTGTCACACCGCAGTGAATTGTTGCATCCTGCTGCCCTGTAGTGTCTTTCACCTGTACTTCCTTTTTGTCACTCAGCAGATGGAATGCCGCCTTTGTTAAATGTGTTAGCACTAATTTCAGGGTTATGGGATTTGTCTTTATGTACATTTTACAGCAGAGGAATGTCAATTTGACTGTGTGACCAAAGTGAAGCACTTGATAAGAGAGACGAATGGAGACAAAGCACATTGGCTTTTTCCTCATCCAGCCCTGAATTATTGGATTACCCATGGGATTCACCTCATTTTTGTTAACCTAAGGGTGGTGGAAATTGAAATTATCATAGACAAGTTTCTCTATCCCTTTACCTCATTCAATAACTAATCAGCATTTATTTGTCCCATAAGAGAGCATCTTGAGTTGAATTATGAGTTGGTGATGCCCTTGGACTCCAGGGTGCTCTTTGGCGGGACTTAGTTACTGTGTGAGGTCAAAGAGGAATAGAGGATTCTCTACAATAATTTCCTTTGGTCACTGCAACAGTTTTATATAATTAATGCAGTGTGTGTTTGTATCTTGTCTGCAATGGTCTCTTTCACCAAGTGCTTCTCATTTTCTATGGAGGTAGTTTGAAACCTTTCCTCTGTAAAATATGTGTTTATGAATGCCCACAGCCTGGTATGAGAGCTGCTGCTACTGTGATTAATGCACCTGAGGAGTTTGTGATAATTGCTGTGTGGGGTACCCACAAGTTACAAGTAGCCCTTATTCTGAGTTAAACCATCCTAATTTTCCAAACAGCTCCACACCAATCTGTCTCAGGACAATGCTAACATTTGGTTGAGCCAAAAATCTGCTTGGATCTTAGAATTGTCCAAGAAATCAGGTAGTTTATCTGCTCCTCACATTGATGCTCAAAGCCTTTTAAGAAAAGTTTAGGGATGAAATGATAGATCTCTACCATAAGTACAACATAAACATCTTCATGGCAGCTTTTATTACTTTCTGCGTTGATGTTAAGTTGAACCACAAGGGCCTGATACCCTCGTCACTTTTCTTTTGGAGCTATTTTCAAAAAGGAGCTCATAAGTTAGTAGTCTGAACATATGTGGCTTTGTGTGTTTGGCTGTGTGTTACAGGGACCATTTAGGTTTGAAGGTACTATGAGTTGATGCTTAAGGAACCAATGAGGGTTTGCCATCTTAAAGATGACATTACTAAAGGTCAAACAAGGGCACTTTGAGGCCGCCATCTTGATTCTTCCAATTTTTTCGTCTTTTATTACAGCTTAAGGTGTTAAGAAGCATAATAGCATTGAAATATCTGTATGATTCAAAAGCTGAGTACAGTGATGCAGCTATTTAAGGGTCCATATTTTAGTGTGGGTGCTACTTCAAGACGTTTCTGACATAATTTGGCTACAGCGAATGGTATAACACATGCATTTCATGATTTATGAGTTCTGTTTCACCTGCTGTAATGTTCAGTTAAAAGATCATAAAATTTTTTAAAGTTCTTCCAATGAAACAATAATTGATATTTAGATGGACTTAAATGCGCATGAGTTACTTTTATAATCCTGTTTACAGGATTACTGTGTGACAACTCGAATTCCCCAATGTACGAAGCCCAGAAGGGGCAAAGTCCAACACTTTCACATGCAAAGTATGTGACTGTATATCTCATGCAGACTGGCTTTTCGCAGTAATAATAGTAACCTGAATGTATGACAGCCTCTTTAGTTTTCTAACTAGTGCCTTAAGTGAAGGCTCTTTTTTTTAAAAAATCAATGGCTTATAACACTTTTAGAATCAAGTCGTCAGAGTTAAAGACTGTTTCATTTAGTAGAATCGCATGAAAAAACCTTGTAAATAATGATAATGCAACCATCTACAACAATGATAAAAATCAGTGGCATTTCTTATTTGATGAACTTCATTATCATAAAAAACCATGAAGAAACCTTAAAACCTTCAAGTCTTCCCTCTAAGAAGCAATTTGCTTATTTTGCAAGGAAAGACAACAAAAAGTGAATCTGTAGTATGAGGATCAACTCAGTTGCGCCAGCGGTTCCTGTTTTCATTAATGCACAGCAATACCTAATTTCTCACACAAATGCTGAATTTAGGATTAAAACAGTAGATTGTTGATATAGTTACACTGAAGCATTCAAAATAGCTCATGCACATTAAATGTGCCTGGCTTATTACTTTTGTCTTTGTAAAGGAGAAAATTGGAGGCCATGGTACAGATTTTGTTAAAATCTTGTGAATATTTAGTTTTATAGTTTTGTTTGTTAATGTTTTATATTTGATATGTATATTTTAGCGGAGCTCTGGCGCGCAAAGCACGCCTGCGGAGCACCATGGGTAAGTAAATCTACCCATCCCAGAAAATTTGGTAATCACGAGACCGTACACCGCCCGCCGGCCTGTCTGTCCACACCACAGGGCAACCAATGTTAAATCTCACACTTTCTAGCTAGTTTGGGAGCACAGGAAGACTGATATTGCATACATATTGCACATCAATGTTGTGATCAATTGACAGCTGTCAAAACAGGGTATCCGCTGACCAGTATCACCCGACCATATCGCAGGCTCAGGTGTCGACCCATCGAGGTCAAGTATCTTTTTGAAGTTATCCGCTGACAAGTTACTAGTTTTGAAATGATTGCAGGCTCAAGTTTAATATTTTTTAATCCATATGAAATATGTTGGGTTTTATATGTGCTGCACAATTAAATTTTTGATTTCAAACTGACCTTGGAAGCTAAAATTCAGCCAGTTTTTACAGGCAGGGACGACATGCCAGTTGCTTTTAACTTTTCTCACCAAGGTCACGTGTTGGTCACGCTCTACGTCCAATTTTTGTACTCTGATTGGTCAAAATTTGACAGGTGAGTTCGTACGGAAAATTTATGCAGCATCTTAAATCTTGTTTACTTTGACAGCTGAAGCTGACAGAGTTTTGTGTTAACTTGTGATGTTTTTAACTGTCTTTTTCCACTGAATATACAAAGTGAAATTCAGCTGCTATCAAGAGTCCTCTGTTATTCATGGCTGGTTTGTTTATTGGGTTTTGGTTGATAAATACGTCGCTTTGGCAATTCCAGCGGAAATCCGATATCAGATAGCATCGTTTTCGTTTTTCACCCTGCTTGATGCGTAAGACGGTTGAAAAGTCTGAAGCGATTCTGGCCTTACTTGATAGTTTTGAGTGCATCTCGAATGGTAAGCCTGAGTAATTATTGTATTTGATGTTTGTCTTTATATCTAATTTAATGAAGTTGAGCATAGTTTATGGGGCTATTTGGTTTATGCACGTTTGTAAAATCTGAGACATTGATCTGACTGAGTGTCAGGTTTGATTATAAGCTTATAAAACTTTAAAAAGCCTTTAGACATTTTCTCACCTCAAATAGATAGAAAACGTTCCAAAGAATATTTAGTTATAATTCTGGCCGTAAAAGAAAGCTTTGAGCGATTTTCTTGCCTCGAGTTCATCTTTGAAAAAAGCCTGCTTAAAACATAAACAAGGATTTTCAGAGACACTTAAATACTTGTCTTCGTGAATGAAAATTGTTGTCTCTGTATATGTTTCACCAAATTATTTTCCTTTTATTGATTGTTAGTAGTCTCTTTTGCAATTATAATCGCTCTGCCGTTTGTTTTAAGTTGCTCATGAACATCGCTTGCAGGAGTAGTCAAAATGCTGCACGTTATAAAACCATTAAATAAAAAAGAAACATAATAAATTCTTTATTATGTTGAAGCGCATAACTCTATTAATCTTAATTTAAACAGTCGACTTTGGCGCTTGTCAAAAGTGAGAACCGGCTAGCTGTAAAGGTGATTTTGGAAATTTTTTAACGGTTTAGCTAAAAGCTCACTCGTGCTTCAATCGTCCTGAATATTGAATGAGTGCGATTTGTATTGCAAAATTGTGAAATACTGCATTCTGTCCGAGGTTTTCCAGGCCTAATCTACTGTGATCAGGAGTTACTATGGCTCTTAAATGTGATCGAAGATGATTGTGCGCTATTTTTTGGGTGTACATATCAGGCTATCAACTCGATGTAAGATTAAGTTCACTCTTAGATGGACTGTTTGCAAATTATTTTTCCCTAAAATCACTTAGCCTTTCCCTCAAAAGTCACATGAATGTGCTCTAAAGTTAACTGATTTGTGAAATACAAGTTTATTGTTTGATTGCAATTATGAATTCGAGTTAATAGGAGCTTCGCTTTTAGCCCTGGCTAAATCTATATATTATTCATGATATTGGTGTAATTACTTTGAAAAGCCATACGTCCCACGCTCGTGACATGCTGATTACTTCATCTTCACATTCACCAGCTTTCATTTTTTCACCATTCAGTATGATCTTTACATTGCTGATCCTAGCAGTATGCAGGACGCGTGTCAAATATGAGCCTAGTATATGGTCTCGCTCTCCATGAGTTCTCCATAGCTCAGTGGATAAAGCCCTTGCCCGGTGTTTGGGAGGTCATAGAGGAGCCTCATAGCTAAGTAAATCTACCCATTCGAGAAAATTTGGTAATCATGTGACCATACACCAAATGATCGAGTGACTATCTGTGTGCACCACAGGAAAACCAATTATGTTTACTTCCACACTTTCTAACTACTTTGGGAGCCCAGGAGAAAACTGATTGCATCAATGTTGTGATCAGTTGACCAAGGTATCTGCCGACCAGTATCACCTGACCGTATCTTGGGTTAAGGTGTCGACCCACCAAGGTTGAGTACTTTTTTGAAGTTATCCGCTGACAAGTTGCTAGTTTTGAAATGATCGCAGGCTCAAGTTTATTTTTTAAAAATTCATATGAAAGGTGTTGTGTTTATGTCATTATGGCCCCGCACTATTTTGCTTTCAAACTAACCTTGGACGCGAAAATTCAGCCAGTTATTTTAAAATACAGGCGGGACAGACCTTTTCTTACCAAGGTCATGTGTTGGTCATGCTCTACATCTGAATTTCATGCTCTGATTGGTCAAAATTTGACAGGTGAGTTCATGTGGAAAATTTACGCAGCATCTTGAAACTTGCTTACTTTGACAGCTGAATAAATACTTGCTATTATTGTTGTGATTATTGTTATTATTATTATTTTTTCATTATAATTACAACAAAAGAGCGAATATTAATTTATCACACAAATGTAAGGAAAGAAAGAAAAATTAAAGATGAAATGAACAAAAAAATATATAAAAATCTGCTGGTGCAGTAAGGAAAAAAATAATGCGTAATACTATATGACAACAACTTTGTTTAAAACTTTCAGTTACAAAAGAGCATTGCTTTATGCCCATAATCCATAATTAGCTTCTGATCCAGATCCAGACGGGCAGAAGAGAAGAGAAAAAATATTACAGAAAGAACAAAGCAACAAATAAAAGATTAAAAAACCAGATGCACTATATTTTGTATCTATTCAACAATTTGTTATTTAATTAATAGAAATGGCGTGATTTATAGATCAGCAATTTAAAAAACCTTTAAGCACATCATGAAAAAGTAACAAAATAATACTGGCTGTGCTCTAGAATGTGTTGTATGGGCATCTTCAACCGAAACAAGAATGACAAGGGTCTCTTTTCCCCCAGTTCTGTACAGTGACATCCATAACTGTTAACTATGTCAGTAACATAAATAATTTGCATATCTCGCTTGCTCTGGGCAAAAAGAAGAAAGCAAATTAAAGTTAAAAGATAATAAAAAACACAGATGTTACATTGGTTCACCAATGAAAATA